CTCCCAAGCTAATGCAACTGAACTCAGAGTGTAAATTCTTGCAAGGCTTTTCTGTTAGATATAAGCACCTTCATAGTTTCAAATTAGCTCTGCAGGGATCTTTCTGTGAACTCCACTTTCATCTAGAAGTTTACTCATGTCTTCCAGAGAAGCTGTGTTTGAAAAAGTCTTAGCTTTTAAAATGGATTTATTTTATAAAAAATGGTTAACAAAGTGATAATGTTAATGTTTTGCCTACACAGTCAACTTACAGTCCCACCAATATGCCAATCAGTTTTCTCAAATGACTGAACCTTCTTTTCACATACCCTCCTCCTTCAGCTTTCTGGAATTGCTCCATTAACAGTGAGCCTTATAAGAGTCCCACCTCTGCTTTTTTTGTGGTCTTCTTGTCTTTGATTCATTAGATGGTGCCAAGGGAAATGATACAGCTACCACTGATGGAAGGTTGATGTGAGCCCAATTGACAATTGCAATTCAGTCAGAATAGAACAAGGGAGTTACTTTTATTGCCATGTGGTGAAGGTTTTCCCCTCTTTTTTCTACAACAGATCGGCTCTTGGTTGAGCTTTACAGTGATGACACAGACTCTGCCAGGTAAGAACTCATATTATTGGCATAGGTAGGAACTTTGTATCAGTCGATTCTCCTCACCTTCCAAAGAACTATGCAGAATAAATATCAGTTTAGGCTTTATTTCTATTATTCTCTTAATGCAAAAACATCAATTTTTTTAGAGTTAGTTAGCCTTTCTGGACAGGGACACCTTTGGAATTTTGGAAGAACACAATGGAAATGGCCTTAAAATGGCTGCCAAAAAAGACTTGCTTATTCACGAAATGAATTGCCATGGTTGTTAATACACATGCCCACTTACCAGAAAATGAAGTAGCCCTCCAAAGATGAATTTTGTCTTAGGAAAGCCAAGAGCATATCTTATAAAATATGATATTAAAGGCTAGTCATTTACTTTGCAGTATGTGAGCTATTTAATTTGATTTCCCTCCATTAATAAATTTTTGATCCATCCAAAATGGATCAAACATTTCAATAGTAAATTTCTTCCATTAAAATGAGGGAATTTGAGCAAGCATTACTTTTAAACAGATGATGTTCAATTTTCTTATATGATTTTCAGTATCCAAAATTAATATGAAGATGTGTAAAAAGATAGGAGTCTTTGCTAAGATTTGGCATATAGTTGTTTCAAATCTCTTCCTTGGAGATGTATATTGTTCCTCCAGTTCTAATATATGGGACTAAGAGGGGTTGGCACACCACGCATATATATCACTGTTGTCATCCTGAAGATACATGACTCAAAGCCTGTCACTTTTGAACTCTAAAGATTTCATTATAATGTGTAGAAATAAAAGTGCTTATGAGTTTTGAACAAAAAACAAATGCATAGAACATGTCCAGAAGCATAAGGCTTCCTCCCAACTCAGAACCGCATTTGGGAGGAAGAAGGAAAAGTATGAATGCATAATAATACACTCTTGAAATAACTGAACAATTACAGAACTTCTTACTTGCAGCCTATCTGCTGCTTATGCACCACCCCTTTCTGTCTAGCTGTTTCTGTCCTTGTCTAGTTGCCCAAGTGAGAATCTTATCATTACACAACCTAAAGTTGAGGACAATGTTCAAAAGTAAGATTATTTCACTCTGCTCTATGAAAACTCCTCAATAAATCATGGAAATAGAAATGTTGTCTACAATTCTGTCTGTTCCAAGAAATTAGTTAATTAGGTGCCATTGAGTCAGTGTGACTCCTGGTAACGTTCTGGACAAATTCTCCTAATCTTGACCTGTCCAGGAAAGAACTCTGACATGGGTTTACATGGATCTTTTGGGTCTAAAATTCTCATCTGGGCAACAAGTAAGGTGTACTTATCTTCTGCCTGGTTTTTGGAGTAATAACTATTTTAAAAACTGATTGGATTGATAGATAACAACACAGACAGTAGCCTGTATTTATGCCAGAGGTGTGGTGGAGAATAGATAACCCTTGAGATGTTTCTGAATTGTCACTTCCAATTTTCCTGACAATTGGTTATGCTGGTTGAGCCAGCTGGGACTTGTAGTTCAAGAACATACAGAAGCCCACAGTTTTCTACTGTCTGGATTGAGTGACAAATAAGGCATCTGCTACAGCACTATCAGTCCAGGCACAATTTAAACAGCAAACATAGAAGCTACTAACAAACAAAAGCTTATCAATCTACTTCCAAAAATGCTTAGATCCCTTTTAGGACTCTTGTCCCTCCACCCATGCTGTGGTAAACCCTTCTCCAATCCTAAAATAATCCTGTGTGGATGGTGAGGGTGGGGGTGGGAGGAAATATCTTTCCTGGCAATGCCCCAGTTGATCAGCAATTTCCCCCTCTTTCTTTAGTTGGTGTTTTTGCGCTACTAATGTCAATCCAGATGGCACAGTGGGCTCGAAAGAAGCACCAACTCTACCTGAGGCGATGTATTACACATAGGTGGAGAAAAGCTATGATTCCCTTTATATTATGAATGTACACCAAATTGGTTTGTACCCAACCTGTGTCAGTTGGAAGCAGTGTAATAAGATTCATTCAGTTCTTCAAGAAAGACATAGTAGAGCATTGCTTTTATATTCATGCATATGTATGCTTTTTAAAAAATTGAACAATCAGTATCAAGGTAATTCAGATATATGAAAGGCTCGAATTGGTGGGAGAGCACATCTAGTTGGTGGGAAAGACTTGATGCCAGATTCCTCTTCAATGCTTTGGTTTGTGTGTCAGAGATGACCTACTCCATTTCACAAAGCAGTGAATCAAGGCCAGTATGCTTCAACCAGCTGTCTCATCTCAAAATGGTTTCTGTGCATGCACAGTCAAGATGAGGTAGCTGGTCCATGGCTTAAAAGTGAGAAGCTGCTTTGCTTCACAGTTGTCCTCCATGCTTCATAGAAGCAAAGCACCCCTTTGGAGCTCCACTCACTCCTTATTTTCGGTCTGACATCTTATAAAGCCACTTCTGCTGAACCACACTTATTGTCTGACTCTATATAAGCCTTAGTTAGAGGGATTTTTTTTTTTTGGCTTTATTTCTGTAACTACTTTTGAAACTTTCATAGTAAAGAAAATTACGAATGGAATCTAATGCACACATGTGGGAGAAAGCTCCCAGAACCTGCTGTAATTTACTTCCAATATCTGCATTGATATGGTAGGTTTAACATTTGGTTTAACATTTGGACGGAGGTTTGACATTTAAAGAATGAAAATGAGATTAAGATCAGAAAATGCAAATTTTCCATGTCCTAAAAGTTACGTTTTGTTTAATGAGCACCAGAAATAAGGTGAGATTGTTTGTAGTAATGAGGTATGATTAGATGATTATGGAATATATATTGTTTGGAATTTGAATTTGATGGAGTTATAATGCTTATTTCATGTAAATTCTGCATGTATATTATCTATAATCCAAGTATTTTTTTCTTATTAAATTGATTGAGAGTTGATTTGACACAGAAACTGTTAAATCAATAAATTTAATCATATTCTTTCCCTACCTGTTCTGGAAATTGTATGAATGTTGTTTTAAATTTTAAAAAATGCTACTTTTGGAAACAGCATGCATTAACATTCCTAAATACATAGCGTTTTTCTTTTGCAGGTTTATCAGGTATCATTAATACATGCTTCAATTCAGAAAGTGGACATGGGTTCAGCTTTCTTCATATGCATGTATATTAGTCCATAACTGGGCCACATTCTTATCTAGGCTATGAAGTTCATCTAGGCCATGCTAGCATATGAAGGGATGCACAGCTCTATTCCCTTCCATCTCCTCCAAATATTATGCATATTTAATTCTCCACCTGACTTCAGTTAGAAATCAATGAATTTGCTTATGTTGCCTTATAATTATCCAGCCAACTGGCTAACTGAGGAAACAGCTGCATTTGTAGAGAAATCCACTTTGGATGAAAATATGTTCTTTCAGTGGTTAAGAATTCTTGGTAAACAGAACACTATGAATGAGAGAATAAGAGAGAACAAACTGAAATTAAATCCAAGAAAGACAGAAGTGTTGCTGGTTAAGAGACAACTGGACTTGAAGACTGACTTCAGTTCTCCACACTTTGGTTATATCCTGTACTGCTATCAGGCTATGGAACATAATCTTGTTGTACATGTTCCTGGCCCTCACTCTCTCAATTTTTAGAAATTTGAAGATGATCTCTTTTGCCAGATTTTAAATTGTTGATTAATTTTAATGCTATTTTTAAGTCATGTTTTTAACTTTTGGCTATCCTTTTTAAAATTTAAATTTTGTTAGCCAACATGTATTACCATTCATTCATTCATTCATTCATTCATTCATTCATTCATTCTTAGTATTTCCACACTGCTGTACTCCAGGAACATGCCAAGGACAAGAAATCCTTTCCACCCAGTTTAAATGATTCCAAGACTACAGTAGACCCAAATAAGAGGAAAATGGATAGATTTATTTGCATATAAAACCTTCATGCACTTCCTCTGGCAAGAGAGACCTGCATTCAGCCATGGATTAACCATTAAGCATTAGGATTTTATAACTCTAAACATACTAAGATTACCTGATCCAACATGATCCTTCTAGCTTACAATCACTATTCACAAAACATGATTATCTGCCTTACACAGATAAATGTTGTAGTTACCATTCATTTTTTATGCCAGTGTTTGAATAGCCTGCTCACAATCAGCCCAGAATCTGCTATTTCCTTTTTCCAAAGATGGGATTTATATTGACTTCCTAAATGACACATTCAGGACCACTACCAGATTTCTGTGTTGTATGACTCTGTGTACAGAAAGGCATACTCAGAAAAACCAGAGGACTAAAAACAATGCAACAGTAGTAAGCAGTACACATTATAATGACACTGACCAACAAGGGTAGAGACCAAAATTTGATATCCTCTGATGTTTTCTCCCAGTCAAGTTTCTATTTCTTTACAGAAACTCATTAGTTTATATGAAGGCAATGTCCATAAGAGGGGCACCACCATTGAGAAGGTCCTGCTACAGACTTCCTGTAGATGGAACTCTTCCTAGAACAGGACCATCAGCAAGGTCTGTCTCTCAGATCTTACTGGATAGGCAGATTCACTTCAGAGTTAAGTGGCTTCGAGTAACTGGGCCTGAGCCATGAGTATTCATCAGAGTAGAAACACAGGATGTCAATTAGCATGTCAAATAATTAAATCAACTTGTTGAACATGACAGAAAAAATTACAATACAATACATCTAAAATATGGTCTGAATACTACCCATTTTGAAAACTAAGGAAATATATCTAGACTATGATTTAGGAACAGGGGGATAGGGGAGGATATGTAACAATATGTACAACTAGCCGATTGACACAATATTTCATCACAATATTTGATGAAAATATTTTTGTCTCTGGCTGTTGAGGCTTTGGCATGGGGCTGGACTGGCATCAGTCAAAATGGGTGTGGATAGCATGTGTTAATTATCAGCCTAAATTTTCAACCCAAGCAAACCCAATTCAGTTTGGCTGAATTGATCCTCCTCCTTAAGGACTCTCCCCTCATGCATTGCTG